TTTTTTTTTTTTTGTTTTTCTTTTCTCTTTTATTATTACCTACATATATGATTTTTAAAAAGTTTACTTTATGTGTGTCTATGTTTTATGTCTTTATGTTTATTATTAGTCATATTATTTTGAAAAATGGTGTCACTTCTTTGATCAGACTTCTGTATGAGTGACACCATCCATACTAATCATTAACTTATTATAATAAGAAATAACATATCATTTTACTTATTATTATAGTAATTATTATTATTTATAATTTTATTTTGTTATTATTACTATTATTGTTATAAATTTTTACTATTGCTTATTATTTTATAATTATTGTTATTACTATTTACCTTATTATTGTAAAAATAATTTTAAAATGGAAAATAAATAGGTTGTTGTTGTTGTTGACTTTATCAGATTCATGGTAAAATACCAAGTAAAAAGGTTCAACCAACAGAAGATTCAGTTGGTGTGTTCTCAAAATTATAACTTTGAATAATTATTTGATGTGTGGAAGGAAATTTTTTTAACATAATTTCAAAAAATATTGCCAAATGTAATATTTCCTGAAATTGTATCATTGATAATCAAATTTGGTCTGTCAAGACATGGCTCATTATCTTGTTTTTTTCTTTGAAAAATCTTTTTGTTATTATTATTTTTAAAAATAGTGGATTTATGTTTATTTCAAAACAAAAAATAAATAAAAAATTTACTCTAATAATTAAGTTAGTTGCACCCATTTTTGGTTATGGCTTGTGAGGTTTTATATACTTAATAATATAAAAAATATTATTAATACACAAGTTTTTCTCTTATATAGTTAATACAGATAGTTTATAGTAATAAATAGTAAATAACCTAGATTAACTACTTTACCTTAATAAAAACAAGAACACATAAAATTGCATGTAGATATATATCATGTTATCTAGAGACAACTATAAACGAAAAAAAGTTACCTTAGTTTATGTATGCCCATGAACTAGAATTTTTTTCTCAATAGATTGCTCAAAAAACAATTACTTTTAAAGTAATTCATTCATGATTATTTTAGATAGATGCTGGCAAGCCATAATGGATTGCTTAGAACTTATCTAAAACATTTCAATCAAATAAACGCTGCATTAAACTGGTGAAATTAATGACTCCCCAAATAAATGCTGTCGTTGTATTTTGATAGAAATAGAATGTTCTAATATAAAACATTTACTTTAAAAATTGCACAAAATGTTTCTTTAGTAAATAATTTTCGATTTCGATTCAACTGCTAACTAGCTTTATTTAATTTAACTGATCCAACCAGCTTTATTGTGAAATATAAATCGCACTCTTATTATAAAATACTTGTGCATGCGTGTACAATATTGTACTCTGAGCAGCTTATGGCTACGTAAAGCGCATTGCGCTCTACAAAGACACTTCGAATTTTTTTATCGTTTCTACAGAATGTCGCCTGAAAGGTATGAACACTTGTTGTCCATGGTTGCCCCTAGCATTACAAAAAAGCCATGTCGAAGTCATCAAACAATATCACCCTCAGAACGATTGACTGTGACACTAAGATACCTGGCTACTGGAGATTCACAACTAACACAAGCTTTTTATTTTAGACTGGGCAGAACAACAGTATGCAACATTATAAATGAAACAACAAAGGCAATTTGGGATGTGTTAAAACCATGTTATTTAAAGGCACCAAGTACATTAAATGAGTGGGAAGAATTGGCAAACCGATTTGAAAATGAATGGAACTTTCCTAATTGTATTGTATGGTAAACATGTATGTATAGAAGCTCCTAGTTTGAGTGGATCAGCATATTACAACTATAAAAACTTTCACAGTATGGTTTTGCTAGCCATATGTGATGCAAAATATTGTTTTACTTTGGTTGATATAGGTAGCTTTGGCAGAGATAACGATGCTTCAATATTCAATGAAGGTAAAATGGGTAAAGCTTTCAAAAACAACTTATTCAAACTTCTAAAAACCGACAGCTATCAAATGGCACACAAGTACCACCAGTTCTGGTTGGTGATGATATTTTTGCACTGAAATCATGGTTAATGAAGCCTTTTTTGGTAAAAATTTGACAATCAAAGAATGTATTTTTAACTATCGATTATCTAGGACTAGACGAACAATTGAAAACACATTTGGAATTATGGTAGCTAAATGGAGAGTATTTAGGCGTCCAATAAAAGCTAACCCAGAAAATATGGAAAACATTATAAAAGATGCAATTTGTTTACATAATTATTTAAGGATCAATGATGGCATTAACTATGTACCATCTGGATTTGTTGATTTTGAAACAAATTCTGGTAAAGTTATTCCTGGAGACTGGCTCAAAATAACAGTTGAAGGTAATGCTTTACATATTTTACCTCGATGTATAAGCAATCGATACACAACAGATGCGAACACTGTAAGATTAACGCTAACAGAGTATTTTAATCATCCAAGTGGATCCTTGTCGTGGCAACATGACTATGTAACTAGTTGTGGACACGATCTTGCAGAAAATAGAATATTTTTGGAACAATGAAAAAAATAATCTTATAACTGTATCATTATATAACATTGAAGAATGGTTTAAACTATGTGTAACAGAATATTAAACTTCTTAAATATATGTTAAAAAACAAACAAACAAATTTTATATCAGTCAACAATATCTGGAAATTCTAGAGCAGCTAAATATTGCTGTATGTTTATTTTAGCAACTGCTTGAGTTTTAGGAGGTAGTCGTTTGATTGTAGCACAAATAGATTTACAAAAATGTATTATATCGTCGTTTTCTTCATGTGTTAGTACACAGTTACACTATTAATGCAACACTAGCAGTTAGTACTGCTAGTGTTGCATTAATATTGTTCATCGTACTAATTACTGCATCTTGTATTTTTGAATTTTCATCAGGTAGAGATCTTTTCAATGTTTTTTTTCTTATATTTATAGGAGATTTTATTTCACTTAACGGTTTTTGTTGATTACTGAATGTATTTGAATTACTTGTATTTTCGCTTAAATTTTCATTTTCTAATTCTACTTTATTAATAACTTCTTCGTCATAGTTCATACTATCATTACTTATACAAGACAAAGGTGATTCTGTTGTTAATTCTGTTGTTGATTCTATTGTTGTTGTTTTATTTTCAACATTAGTTGCTGTATCTCTATGATCAATGTAAACATTTGATGTTGATGTGTGAAAACTTTTTTTTCAATATTCATAATCAATATATCATAATTAATAATCAACCAATCATATTTAAGGTTCGCGCGACAATTGTCGTAGAGATAGAATTTTTCTCTACGACACCTATGGCACGATCGAAAGACAGTCTTGCAAGACAAAATTTGTCGCACGAATCATGTTTCCATATGGTCGTGCAATTGTCCTGCGACAGTCGTGCGACTGTCGCACGACTATTTTAGATATATGGAAACCAACCTTAAGTGAGGAACTTTCACATTTAATGTGGAGGGCTTCTTTTATCTTTAATTTGTGTTTGGTTGGGGCGTTATAATTGATAAATTTAAGTGTTTAAATATATGTGATTATTTATCACTTTTAAGGTGCTCATTTATTCTAATTGCCAAATGTCTGGAGGTTTCTCCAATATAACTGGCATTACAGCCAGCGCAAGAAAATTTATAGACAACATGAGATTTAAGCAATTTAGGAAGTGACTCTAAGTAAAAACAATTTTGTATATATATATATATATATATATATATATATATATATATATATATATATATATATATATATATATATATATATATATATATATATATATATATATATATATATATATATATATATATATATATATATATATATATATATATATATATATATATACGTATATATTCATATACCCTAGGTAAATATATTATTTTATTATATATTTATACACGGGTAAATATTATTATATATTTTTGGACGCCCAAAATTTTGTAAAATCTTAAAACACAGAGATTTTTAAAAAGTAGCGAAAGTGCTCATATTACCAAAACGACTTGATAATATGAACACTTTAAATTAACTCAAAAAAAATAAATAATAATTAATTAATTTAAGAAATACCAACCTAACAATAAACTAATTTGCGGAATATAATGATTTTATCTTGTCAAAACTTATCATTAAAAAATTACAATAATACCATGGCCATAATATATGGCATATATTACATATATGTAATATAGTAGGCCATGATAATACAAAAATGGAGCCAAATATGATCACTAAAATTATATTTGTTAAACATAATAAAAATTTGTTTATACAAGGTTCTTTCAAATACACATTCAGATTGGCCAAAAAAGTTGTGCAGGAGAAATTAAAGAGCCATACGATGGCTCTTTAATTACTCCTGTACAATTTTTTTAATGTCTGAAGCCAAAATTACCAAACGTTAGCTTCCATTGTAAATATTAACAATTGAAGAAACTACAATCCAATTAATAATGCTGACGCTTTTTTAAAACTTTTTAAAGGATATGTCGACTCTGCAGAACATAATTTAATTTTTATTTAGGTTTTTGATAATTGTTTTCAAGTTTTTGTTCTTTTAAACGTTTAACAACATTAAAAAATGTTAGAAGTTTTCTCTAAGCATAGTCTGCGATGGAAATATTAAAGTTCTAGAGTCCTTACATTCTAGTCAAGCGCAATTCGAGACACTACCCCGCCCCCTCCGTCGGTTTTTAAAGGAGTATAATTGGCTAGTCGGTATTAGACACATTACAGTCAGCAGATTTTTAGTCTTGAGGATCATTACATTATTTAAAAAAAAAAAAAAAAAAAAAGTAAAGTTATTTTTTCTATAAATTTTACTTTTTTAAAAAAAAAGGCAGTAAAATTATTTTTTCTTGGAAGTTTTTTTTTCCGCAATTGTTTTTTTCAATTAAATCAGTTTTTATAGATATATAAACGTGCGGTAAAAACATGATCCACAATACACTATCCGGTATGGTTCCAATAATACCCGGAAAACTTGTTCGGTTTGACATTACTATGTTGCCCAAGTTAATTTTCTCGTTTTAAAAACAAAAGGAATAGCTATTTATAGTTGTTGCTATAATTTTTATATTAAGTTACGACATTTTAACAATATTTTAAGAATAACACAAAAATGATGCAAAATTATTTGCTCTCAATTTCAAAGGTAATTTTATATTTATAATAATACATAAATTTAAAAGAAACTAGCGCACTTAATTTTTAAATAGTTCTAAATTTTTGTATTTATTATATACTTATTTTTTGTCTCACTTAATTTACTTACTTTTTGTCACTGGCATAATTACTTGCTGTCATTAAGGTTATTAAAACTTATTTTTCAATAAAAGTTAAACTTCTTACATTATTTAAATAATTGTGGGTCATGTTTTAAAAAAAAAAATCATAAAATATTATCTATTCTATGTCATCAGTGATGGCTATTTTAAAACATACTTAAAATGTTTTGAAATAATAAATTATTATTAAATATCTAAATGTATAGTTATAAATTATTATAATTTTACAAAGTACGCATACACGTGTTTACATTATGGGTTAAATCATTAAATTTCAACCATTTTTGAAAAAACTTTGTGGGGTACCATCTCAGATTTTGCTGATTTTTACATATCATTATCTACATTATGTAGATAGGTTAAACTTCAAGTTTCAAGCTTCCAAGTACAATAGTTCAGAAAATATAGCTTTATATACAATGCGCAGTGGCCCCGTTTGATTTAAGAATTGTAAAAACAGACTAGGGTAAAAATATATGAAATCATCCAGACCATGACACCCTTACATCTCAGAATTTGTTTATTTTTACACCACTTGCAGTCCATATCAAAAAAATAATAACTGCAAAAATTTTAGTTGAAAATACCAATGGGTTCCAGAGATATTGTCAGTTGAAGTAATGCTGACTCAGCATTTTAGTGATTTTCTGAAGCAACTACAAAGCAACTTTGACATACAGTATCTTCATAATGGCTTGGGGAAATTTCCTAAAATTCGGTACTCTAATAGATTTTAACTTGAGGAATCCAAAAATATCACTCTTAAGACTCGATTATCTCAAGAAATGCCTCATTTATTCAATTTTGTTCAAAATTATTGACTTTAGCATAACAAAAGTTTGAGAACACTATTGACAGAGTTGCAAAAATGGTCTCATTAGCATATAATATTAAAGAAACTTTTTTAACAACAGAAATAAAAAGCCCCATTTTAAACAACAACATTAACAATGACCATGATCTAGACATTTTAATGTATGAAATAAAAAATAAAATTTCAGAGACTGACTCTTATCGCCATAAGGTGCAAATGTTAACACTCGCACCAAAATCATGGACACGTAAAAAGATATCAAGCTACTTTGAAGTGTCTGAGTATCTTGTTCGAACAGCAAGAAAAGTTAAAAATGAGAATGGAACTCTATCATTACCCAGGAAAAAAACTGGAAACCCACTTTCACCAGAAACAGTTAATTTAACTTTGATAAAAGTTATTAACTTTTATCAAAGTGATGAATTTTCAAGAATGATGCCAGGAAAAAAAGATTATGTAAGTATTAAGAAAAACCAACATGTTCAAAAAAGATTATTGCTACTCAATCTTAATGAATTATATGTTGTATTTAAAAAAGACTACCCTAACGTTAAAGTCAGTTTGTCAAAGTTTTGTACTCTTAAACCTAAATGGTGTATTACAACTAATGCGTCAGGTACCCACAATGTATGTGTTTGCATACATCACCAAAGTACAAAATTTCTCATTGATGCCATTAGGTGGAATAAAAGTTATAAAGATTTCATGGCATTGATTGTTTGCTCTCTTGAAAATGCAGAATGTATGTTGCATCGATGTAACCAATGTCCTGGTATTGAAGCGTTAAAAAGTTTTTTAGTGCAGGAGTTTATGGACCATGAGCATGAAGAAGATGTAGTATTTAAGCAATGGCAGAGTACAGATCGTACAACACTACTTTCACAGTCATTGCCACTAGATGAATTTATTGATTTATTATGTAACAGTATTGACAAACTTACCACTCATTCATATATTGAAAAAACACAAAGTAGATACTTAAAAAAACTGTATAGAAAATCTTAACCAAAACGAATGCTTAATTTTAGGAGATTTTGCTGAAAACTATCAATATGTTGTTCAGGATGAGGTTCAAAGTTATCACTGGAGCAAAAATCAATGCTCACTTTATACAGTTGTACTTTATTTTATAGAGAACAAGCTTTTCAAACATAAATCTTTTTGTTACCTTTCAGAAGATGTTGATCATGACACAGGATTTATTTACAAGACTCAGGAAGATATAACTAGATATATCAAAGAAAATCTACCTGATGTATCAAGTGTGAAATACTTTTCTGATGGTTGTGCAGCACAATTTAAAAATTTTAAAAATTTTATCAATCTTTGTCATCACAGTAAAGACTTTGATTTAAATGCTGAATGGGTATTTTTTGCTACCAGTCATGGTAAACCCCCTGTGATGGTATTGGTGGGACTGTTAAAAGAGTAGTATGTCAAGAAAGTCTAAAACAAATAACTACTGGGCAGATTTTAGATGTTAATTTAATGTACTCCTTTTGTAAAGCCAAGATAAATGGAATTTATTTTAAGTTATTTTCAAAAGAAGAAATTGATCAAACACGAGCACAATTAGAAAAAAGATATTTAGGTGGAAGAACAGTTCCTGGCACAAGGATGTATCATCATTTTATTCCAATTGCTCCAAACACTATAAGTTATAAAAAAATAAGTATTGATGCATGCACTGAAATATTTGATATCATTCCAAAAAGCAAACATTATGTATATATTTCATTAAATATTAAAAAAATGGATTATATTGCATGTTTTTATGATGGATTTTGGTGGGTAGGGATTGCTGAAGATGTAAGTGAGCTTGATATAAAAGTCAGATTCATGCATCCACATGGACCAGGTAAAAACTTCTTTTGGCCAATAAGAACTGATGAGTGTTGGGTGCTCAATTCTGAAGTTATATGCCTAATTTCTACACCCACAACAATATCAGGTCGTACATACAACATAACTGATTTAGATTTGGAGAATATAAACTGTTGGTTACAAAAAAAAAATAATTATGCTTAAAATAATTTTGTTTTTATTTTATTTACCTAATTTGCATTTTAAATGTCTTTTTTTTTTAAATCCTTGGATTGTAGGCTGAGAAGGAGGGGTGGGGGTTTAAATAAATCACAAATCACTCCCATCTTATTATGTCAATGACTATATTAGTCTAAAACTACATAAAGATATTTATTGTCAATATGTTTTAAAAACATTTTAAAACATTTATTTTTGAAATTTATGACTTAAAATCGTAAAAAGATCTTTAAAATAAGAGGTAAGTATTTATCGATTTGAAGTAGCGCAAATAAATTGTTTCTCAAACTTAAACTGAAAAAATATGTTTTTAAAATGTATTTTAACAATCAACTATTATTTATTCATTTTATGTAAAAAAAAAAAAAAATCTAGGGAGATTTGGGGAGGGGGTGGAGGGGCTTCCCGTGGGTAGGGAGGGCATCTCCCTTGGCCCATGACTTTAAATGTTTATTTAAATTTAAACAAATCAATAAATAACACTGTTTGGTGTTTTATTCAAATAAATGTTTAAAAAAATATTTTAATTGCTTTTGTTACAAAATTTAAATTTTTCTAAAAAGACACCATTTTTAAATGCAAATTTTGATCATGTATTAGAGAGACAATTGATGAATCTAATTTTTTTCAGTAGACCTAAGATGAAATAATGATACACAATTAAAATTTTTACTCGGGATTTTGGGCCACAGTCTTTATTTTACCTCCAAAAATCACTAACTTACAAGTCAATAATTTTGAACAAAATTGAATAAATGAGGCATTTCTTGAGATAATCGAGTCTTAAGAGTGCTATTTTTGGATTCCTCAAGTTAAAATCTATTAGAGTACCAAATTTTAGGAAATTTCCCCAAGCCATTATGAAGATACTGTATGTCAAAGTTGCTTTGTAGTTGCTTCAGAAAATCACTAAAATGCTGAGTCAGCATTATTTCAACTGACAATATCTCTGGAACCCATTGGTATTTTCAACTAAAATTTTTGCAGTTATTATTTTTTTGATATGGACTGCAAGTGGTGTAAAAATAAACAAATTCTGAGACGTAAGGGTGTCGAAAATTATTTTTTTTGGATGATTTCATATATTTTTACCCACTACTTTAATGCCTCATAACTTTTTTCTATCTTTCAACAAGTGGCTCATTTTTTCTAGAAGTGTTGTTTGGGCATGCTGCTCCTGTTTGAGTATGCTGCTCCTGTCTGTGTTAAAAATACTGGTTTTTGTTAACTTTTATCATATTAGAAAAAATTTATAGCCTTCTCTACTTCAAAAAAAAATTGAAAAATGCTAAAAAAAGGCCAAAATAAAGTTAACTGAAGTAGTTTTCTATTCATCAACAAGTCCTTACAGTTTAGTTTTCTGATTAGCTACTATTATCTGCAACAAATAGACAAAAAATAAGCCGCTTGTTGCAGTTTAGAACTGAAATATATCTTAAAATGTATTGTCTATTCGCCAAGAAAGTCCCATTTTCAGCTATTTTGAAATGCTCATAATTTTTTCTAACACTTTGTATTGATCTAAGCTTAACAGCAGTTAAGACCATAAGATCCAACTATCTGAAAATGCAAACATTCTTTACTTGTTGCATTCACAACAAAAATGGCAGCATTTTATAATAACCCTATTTTTTAATTATTGAGGGTTGGAAACCAGCACCCTCCCCCCCTCCTGCCTAATAGCATATTCAATGGGTGCAATTGATTATAAGTTGTTTTTTTTAAAAAATGAAAGATATAGTTTATGGCCCCCATGCTGAATGGTTTTTAACCTTGGTAGGGGCACAAATAAAGGGGTAATAATTAACTAAAACTCTGTAATATTGGTAAATAGTGAAACTTTAAACATAATTTACACAATTAAGGAGTGTTATATCTCAAAGTCAAAGATCTTTGTTGTTTTACATAATTAATGTTGAACATTTTTTCATAAGATTTTCATAATATATCAAGGGGATATTCATGATACATCAGGGGACTTAAAAGTATAATAAAATATAACTTCTATAATAAAAATAAATAATGATTAATAAAGGAAAAACTCAAAACTTGTTAGAAACCACTTAACTTATTAGGTTTGGTTTTTGCTTTTTAATTGATAATTAGTTGAAAATGTTCAAAACAATTAATACAGTATATTTTATTTAATCTTTTTTATTTTATTAGATAGGAGTAAAAGCCCTTTGTGTTTTGGAGCTCAGGCTCATGTAATGTGACAATAATGTCACTAACTGGATACAAATGAGTAACAATAATGTCACTAACTGGATACAAATCTGGTGTTTTTGGATATTTGAAATAATTACCAGCTTTATGTAAACAGCTGACAGATATATAGTCACCTCTTATAAGAGACCTCTGTATTAGCTTCTCTTTAGATTATTTAGTAGAACAACTAGAACAAAAGTTTCATAATGTAATGTTTCATAATGTAGTTTCATAGAAGTTTTATAGTATTTCACAGAAAATAAATTACTCATCTTAGTTCCTCTCCATCGGACCATTCAGGAAATAATAGGTGAATTTAAAACAACACAATATATGGTAAAACAAGCTAGAGCTTTGCGGGACAATAAAGTAATACTTGGTGAGAGAGCAACTTACATAAGAAATAAATAAAAAAAGACTTCCCAAGTTATAAATCAAATTATCAATTTTTATGAAGATGATAGTAATAGCAGATTATTGCCTGGTGCAAAGGATTATATTAGCATAAAAACAGTTAAAGGTAGAAAACTCATTCAGAAGCGGCTTATATTATACAATCTTTTTGATAGAGATTTTGATAAGAATAGAAAAAGTTATGAGGCGTTTAAGTAGTCTGTTTTTACAATTCTTAAATCAAAGGGGGCCAAAATTGACTTTCACGTCATTTTGTTTAAATCATCCCAAGCCAGTTTTCTATGATGACTAAATGATAAATTAAGAATACATGTGTACTACAATGTGATTTAGTAAAAGGTAAAGTCGTATTTTTAAATACTCGTTAACATATATTTTATCAGAAAGTAAAGACTCAGAAATATGGGTGCTAATTTTTTGCCATACCTACAAATAGTCTGCCAAATCAAAGCTTTTTTTAAGAAGCTTATCATGTTTTGTGCATTTAATTTTCTTATCTGCTTTTCCTCTATATTTAGCATTATAATAGACAGTACCAGGATTTTGTTGATAATGGTACTTCATAAAGATTTCATCATCTTCAATAATTTCAAAAATTATTTAAAATATAATTGTCATAAAATTTTCAGCGGGTTCTTGCACTTTTTTTTCTTTAATTTCACAATGATTAGGCACTTTTTGCGATTTAAAAGCTTGAAAAATATTATATTTTGAACTTTTACAACAAAACTATAAAAAAATACTAATTTTTTGCGTGTTTTCACAGTGAGAGGTTTGGGTTATTTATAAAACTGTTAACCAGTTTTCTAACCAGTTTTATTTCTTGAAAAACCTTTCTTCTAATACTAGATTTGCATTGGATGGAATTTGTTTAAGAAAACGTTAAATAACATGACTAACATAAAGGGATGTATTTGCAACTTTTTTGCAACTGAATTCAGATGCTTCTATTCAGATTTTCCATAATATTTGTGCAAAATATTTTTTCTAATGTCTTTTTCTTTTGTCATTTTTAATAATTATTCTAAGTTAAATAAGAAAGCTAAAACAGTTTTTTTGAAATCATCACATGATGCTTACTGAACACAATTAGAAATATTTTAATACAACTTCTGAAAAAAAATTTTTACTTTTTGATTTTAAAAAACATTTACTCTTTCACATTTATTTTGTATACATGATTTAGCACCTAGACATTGACTACACTTGTAGCCACTGACCAAAAATTAATTATAAAATACCTAACAAGGTCCATTACAAGAAGTTTTTAACAATTTTTAAAGTCTTTTATAAACAGAGACATGACATTGCTTGAAGCAGTATCTGCATTAACCCAGAAAAAACTCCTTTAAAACTACTTCATGTAGAATGTAACAGGCTTGACTTGGAAAAATCGCATGTTTTGAACTCAAATTTGATGCTTGATGTTAGCTACAAAAATGTGCTTTATTTTATGCTTCAACAAAAAAATAACCCCAATCGCCAATAATATATTTTGACTCAACAAGGGATTCAGCTTCTTGATTATTCTTGGTCAACTAAAAAAATCTTTCATCAATAAAGATACAATTGTGGAAGCAATACTACACATTGCTAGTCAGACTATCTTGAGTATGCTGCTCCTGTTTGTAATTCTCTTTCTGCACGTCATATTTAGAAACTAAAAAAAGTTCAAAGTTGTTTCATTAAAGCAGCTCTACTTCTCAAATACTTTATGTCTTTCCTTACTAAATAAAAATCTAGAGGCAATTGATCTACAATTTCAAGCTTATTAATAACATATCTAATAAAATTCATATCTAAAAAAAAAATTATTGGCTGAGCCAACAATTCAGTCTTTCAACTGTTTGAATAATTTCGAACAGTTTGGCTAATAAGGATAATAAGAATTTTGTGAGTTTGGCTAATAAGGATAATAAGAATTTTGTCTCAGCTGCTTAGTGAGAGCTAAATCATCCTGAAAAAGTTTATAAACAAGCAGGAAAATATAAAATTGAGAGAATGAAAAAGTTGTGTTTAAAATTATTTTAATTTGCTTAAAATTAAATAGTGAAGAAAGTAAAAAAAAATATTTTTAAAGTTAAGTTATAATAATCTAATTATAAATGTTCATTTTTACTAGTTTTAAACTATTTCTACAAACTTTATTTAGAAAAAGAAAGGTAATAGAAGTTATTATAACAACAAAATGTTTTATAAGAAGTAAATAAGTAATTAGAAGTCAAAATATTTTATAAGAAATATATTAAGTCAATAAAATAGTATAGATTTGAAATCATGTGCAATTATTTGTGAAAAAAAAATTGTATTTTAATTAATAAATGTTTATGTTATCCAGCATGGAATGAAGAAAAGTTTGTTTAAACACCTAATTCAATGTTTGCGTCATGAATCAACAAGACCTCCACTTACATTATTGTCTACAGAAGAAAGTATGTTTCAAGAATCTAGTAAGTTGACTTTTCAGTCTAAAAACTTTTCAAATTTAATGTACATTTTTATTAGAATAAGCTCTTGTACTATACCTGTATATGTGGTAGTGCTATAATGGTAGAGCGCTTGCCTCATAAGCAAGAGATTTTGAGTTTGATCCCCACCATTGCCCTAGCAGTACCGCACTCAACTTGTTTATCCACGCAGCAACCTTGTTTGTTAAGGTTTGTGTTTTGGTGTTATAGAGTTGAGAAAGGGTTGTAACCACGACTAAAGTAGCCTCCTCCAAGGTTAGTCAGGAAGTAGGAGGTATCGCTCTCGATTACTGACCACGGAAATAATATTCTGTGGCGAAAAACTAGCCAGATTTTTTAGTGGTTTTGAGAACATTTAAGTGTATGTATGTCCGTAAAACAAAAAATATTTGTTTTACCGATATACATCTACGAACAAATTAATTCTTTTGGTTCAAAAAATACACTGAATAAGCGAATTAAAGTTCTAGAGTTCTATTCTGTTGAAATGTTTTAAAAATTCGAGATTTGTTAAGTTTTGAGATTTCTAGCATAAACTGTTTTAAGAATATATTATCAAACAAACTATTTCTTTAATCTGTAAAGCTGTAATTCTTTTAAACTATTATTATTTGTATAAAAAATAAATGTTGAGAATATATATTTTTTTAAATTGTCAAAATTTTGAAAGTTTATTATATGTTATAGATTTTATTAGCATATTCTTGTTTTTTATTTAAAAATGTATTTTTTATGTAAATGTAATTTTGTGTATTTGTTTTTTATTTTAATGTAATCTTTTAAAGCGATTTGTATTGTAAACTAAATTTATATTGTAAACTAAAAGAATTTATATTGTAAACTAAAAGGCTTTCAACAATAATTGCGTCTTCAATGAAATTATTAATGATCATCAAAGTTAATAAAATTAATTATGAAATAAACATACAAGAAGTTTCTGGTTACTAAACACAAACATGCATACAAAGTAACTCGTGGATGAACAAGCATCGCACTTGAGGTCACGACAAAACACAAATATATATATATATATATATATATATATATATATATATATATATATATATATATATATATATATATATATATATATATATATATATATTGAAAGTTATTAGGTATAAAAAATGTTTTTAAGTTCTTAATTATTGGTTTATTAACTCTAATTATTTTCGCTTCAGTTGATATTCTTACAAACTCATTATACTTAATCTTAAGGTTACTTTTTTCTGTTTTAAATACTAATTAAAATCAAAAAGCTTACTCACTAAACATCATCAGCAGTATTGTGAAGTAGTTCCTCTTCATAAAGTATTTTTAGCCTTTTTAGTTGATTTCTAACTAGTGGGGGGGGGGGGGGGTCCTAAATTCTATATTTCTTGTTTTACCAGTTATTCTTAATTAATTTTTTGATAAAAGTTCAAAAAACAGTTCAGTTTTTGCTATTATTTTATGGTTGACCTTCTACTTCTATTTTAAAAATATAAAGATATAAAAAATAAAAATCTTTGCAAAAGTTTCTTTGCGTATAAAGTTATGCAACTTTTCTTTCAAATTTATGCTATTCAAACTTTGATTGGATGAATTTGATTTTTATTCGTTGCGTTTTAGAAAAAGAAAAGTTTTATCTGAAGTCTCTTTCTAAACAAAACCTTTTATTAAAATGTTTTGTTTAGAAAGAGAACTTAAAACTTTTAAGTAATCAAAACAACAGATTGCTTTAAAAAAAAGTTTTTATCTGAAGTCTCTTTCTAAACAAAACCCCCTAAGTAATCAAAAAGTCAGATTGCTTCAAAATATCTTAATTTATTTTTTTATTTTTTTGTATTTTTAATTGTTATTCAAGTTATCAAGAAGGCTATTCAAGATTTCAATGATGGTATATAATCCCTAAAAATATTTGTATAAAAGAAAAAAGTCATGAAGCATAATAAGTCATAAAATCCTGACTCTCCACCCCCTATTTTTAACCCCCAAAAAATTTATTTCATCTCGCAATGATATTTGAATCTCCTGCTACCTCTTTATAAAATAAAATTAAAAATATTCTCATACATTATCTTCTTAAAAACACATGTTTATATAGTTTTCCATGTTTATTAAACTAAAATAAAAAATCTATAAAGTGAGTCTATTTCTGACAACCTCCCCCCCCCCTTCCCTTTGTTCTTTTATTGTCCTTTTTATCTCAACCCCCCCCCTTTATAATGGATGCCGTCCTTTTATGGATGGCCCCTTAAGAAAGTTTCCCAGTATTTGATAAATGTTATCATAATAAGATTTTATTTTTATATTTTTTTTTACAAATTTTTAAAACATTTTCACCTCCATCAAGGCTGCAAACAACCGCTATTAGAATTGGAATTTACGGGAAGAACCAAGGCAAAGGTTGTAGTGTTTCATATGATTTTTTTTCACTTTTTTTTAATGAAGTCAAGAATAAATCCTTTTTTAAAGTGCCAGTCAGTAGAAGTTCAGTTAAATTCTAAAGGTTTAACAACTCTATAGATAAATAGTTAGTCTAAAGGAATACAGCTACCTAAAAGGCTTTATAAAAAACAAACTGGGTCATCAGATTTTGAAATTTTCTGCTTTACTCTAAAACGCTGTGAATAACTAGTTAAAAAAAATTCTAGAAGCAGTTACTAAGTTTACCTCAAAAAGATTGATTGTATCATTCTTGCTAGAGTATTTTGGCAAAAGTTAGCCTCAGTTCTTCAAAAAAGAGGAAAGTATTTTGTGTTTGGTTGATGATGGAATATGATGAGTATCAACTTTCTAATTAAGTTGTTGGAGTTGATAAAGTAATTACAATGCTATTACTGACGCTAAAGTTTAATGTCAATTGTAATTACTTTGTCAACTGAGTCAGGCTTGGTTGGGAAGTGGGAGCTATCGCTCTTGATTGCTGACCATGGAAATAATATTTAGTTGCAAAAAGCTGGCCAGATTTTTTAGTCATTTTGATAACATTTTAAAAAGCAAAAAACCACTCATTCTGTAACCGACTTTGGAAAAAACCCTTTAGTTTCAACAGTGGATGTATACTTAATTATTTAAACCATATAAAAAATGAAGGTTCGCATAGTTTGAAAATATTTTAAAAAATTATTGAAAAAGTTGAAACTATATACTTAAAACCAGCTACAAAAACAAATGGATAACAATGGAAGAGCAGCAAACTTTACATTAGGTGTGCAAGACGAGTTCTGTTTTAGTTTGATTAAAGTTACAAGGCGGCCCATTTAACTGTGAACTAGACTTTATTGAAATAGATAAAAATATGTTAAAAATGAAAAAAAAGATAGAAAAATGAGGTTCCTTATTTTAGAGATACAAGTATTTGTCATGGAGGTCTACTCTGATACATGATTGTTCTACATGAAAAGTTGCCGCAGCAATCCTCTATCACATATGATGACTTTTATAATTATTTTCCATTTTCAATAGTAAAAATAGCAAACTGTATGAATTATTTTCATATATAATGCTTAATTTTTTTGTTACTTATAAATACCTATAATTATAATCTATATTATTGATAAATTAAACAGAAAAAGATTTCTACTTTTCTACTTTTCTTATATTTAATGATAATAATAATTTTTAACAATGCCTTTTTTTGTCAAAATAATCGCTTTTTTTAAAATTGAAGTAGAAATAATTAAAATGAAAAAAAAATGATTATGATTTATAAAATCAACAGGAAAAACTAATTAAGAAAATTGGTTAAACTATAAAAAATCTAAAAAAAATTTGATAATGGGGTCCCCCCCCTCCATATTTAGTTAATTTATTTTCTATTGTAACTCAATGATTTAATTATTTCATTTGTTCATTTTACTAAGAAGAATTTTTTTCAAATATGTTAAACTTTTCAAATTATGCGAAGGATAAAATAGTTGTTAAAAAAAATAATTTTTTTATTTATAAAATAATTTAGCTAATAAAACTAACTAGCTTTTGTTTTATTAGAATCTTGTTGGACTTTTCGGGGCGGGGGCTATTTTTATTTTAGAGGCCTTTTTTATGTGCCACAGTGTAAAAATGACTAAAAAAAGCTCTTCTTGACTATTTTAGGGCCCTTAACTTGTAGTGGCCTTCATGACCTTGGGGAGGTAAATTAAATTAAAAAAAAAAACTTGTTATTTGTATAATACTTTTGTCTTTTTAGCTCGAAAATTTGCTTTAGAGAAAGTAAAACCCTTCGTTAAAGAAATGGATGAAAAGTCAGCTTTGGATCCTAATATTATTAAAGGTTTATTTGAACAAGGGGTATGATTCCTAAATTTTTTTAAAGGTCTGTACAAGTTATTTTTCATATTGGTTAATGGAATTTCAAAAAAAAATGGTACAGCAAATGCTATAGCAAAGATTTTTTTCACAACTTCAAATGATATATTTCACACAATAATGCTTTTTCATATTTTTTTTTTGAAGTAGTTTTTTACAAGTTTAGTTTTTTACTTGACCATTTGAAATAGTATAGCTGAACTTTATAAATCATTATCATGAAACATTGCTGTGTTCAACTTCATATTTTGTGTATCAGACAACGATTTTCAATAATATGACAGGAAATTGAAAAGCACTATTTAAGATCTCAAGTTCTAATCAGAGCTGACTCATGGGCATTTCTTAGTGTGTAAAAAAAGAATTTGCCGCCCTAATTCATAAATAGCTCTTAAAAAAAGGCCAGAAAAAACAATTAGCTTAAATGAAAGAAGTTTTTATATAGTGTTGATTGCACAAAAGTTTTCTTTAGCAGTAGTTAATGAATTTTATACTTTTATATTAAAATATCAACTATTTAAAATGGTCTATTTAAAAAGTAAGGTGTGATATTCATACAAATAAAGAAAAAATAAAATAAAGGAAAGCAAAAATATAAAAATTCCTCTTTAAATCTCAAAAAAGAAACAGTCTAATTAAATTAAAGAAAAAATCATTATAATTCAATTCAATTCAATATATATATTCTGAAATAAGTTGTAAAATCTCAAGGACTTTTACAAATAGTACAAGTACTAATCTAAAATAAAAACCTGCAACATTACAATAAAAGTGATCATAATAACAATAATAATTATTAAATAGTATTGATAATAATTATAAAATGAAAAAAAAATTTAAACTCATATTAACTTCTGTTATTTATAATTATTATAATTGATTTATTTATAATTAAATTCATCCACTCCTGACTACTTTATATATATATATATATATATATATATATATATATATATATATATATATATATATATATATATATATATATATATATATATATATATATATATATATATATATATATATATATATGATATATATATATATATATATATATATATATATATATATATATATATATATATATATATATTCTTGTAATTCCTTGAGTATATATTCTTGTAATTCTTTGGGTAGCTATTTAATTGACAGTTTACAAAACCTTTCATAACTATTTCTTGAATATTATGGTTTGTGAGAGGCTAATCAGAAATTTCTTCCCATGTACAAAAAGCAAGCAAGCTAGTTACATTCGCAGAAAGAGTGTTTTGAAGTTGGCTTACCGTTGATGGCTCTTCCATTTTGCTCTATTTTCTGTTTTGGTTCAATTTTTTACCTTTTATCTCAACTTCATGTTCTTTGATTTCCTTTGAACTGATTTCATATGGCAAAGTATTTATCTCAGAATAATTGCTGGTTTATAAGGTGTTTCCTGGTTTTTATCATGCCCATGCTGTTTTTTTAACCATTTTAGATAATACTGAAAAATGGACAAAATTAGGCAAAAAAAATTCTGGGATTTTCCTGTATGGACACTTTTACAAGAAAATTTTTTATTAAATATTAGAACTAAGTATTTTTTTTGGTAATTATTTCTTTGGTGTTTATCTTAAAATTTGCCGCCCCTAGAAAAATGCTGCCTGTGTGCATTGCACTCTTTGCACACTACATCAGCCAGCACAGGTTCTAATAATAACAATCACTGAGAGTTAGAGTATTTTGGTTTTTAGGAAGAAGTCTAATTTTGTTTGAGTTATGTTAGAGTTTTTAGGCTCAATTGTTTTAATTATCTATTAGGTATTTCTCCTATTTTATTGTTCTTATTGATTTTGTTGATTTTTCGTATTTTGTCAATTCTGAATGAATGGAAAAATAAGGATTACATTGCCTAAAATATAAATTAAAGTTAAAAAAATAAATTAAAGATAAATTAAATTAAACTAAAGTTATGTTTGAAGTTTAAAAGTTTTTATTAAATTTTTAACATTTTTACAGAAATAAGTAAAGCAAGATGAAAGTGAACTTCTATGAAAACACCTAAAGAAACATTTTATGCCATTCCTTTACATATATCTATTAGTTATAAAAATTATATAAAATGAAAAACTTTTGTTGGGAAAACTTTAAGAAATGGCCCTTTAAAACCCGCAAAATTAAAAAAAAGCTATAAAAACTGGATAAAAACTAATTTTCTTGTCTGGAGTGTTGAATGTAAAAAATTATGCCATTTTTATTTTAGTTTTATTATATATTTTCAGATTTTTATTTCCTGTAATTTATTGTTACTGGCCCTAGTCTAAATAACAGCGTATATTTAACCCTAAAGGGTACAAAGTAAGCTATTACTTATTAATTTGATTTATATATATTTTATTTAAAACCTTGTTTAAACAATTAAATATATAAAGTATTATTAGGTTAGTATATATAACTAAAAAATCAAACATAATTTGTGAGCTAATTACAATGCCTCCAAAATCTCATGAAGAAAACCATGCACAAGTTTGTGCAATTTACTTGTATGTACAAACAGAAAAAAAAGGCAAACAGAAAAATTACTAATACACAAGAGGTTCAACTGAAAGCTCATTTAGTGTCAAGTTATTCACTGCAAGATCCAAGGTTCCCATCTGGGCTTTGTATTGACTGCAGATTGGACTTTAACAAAATAAAAATTGGAGATTTTTAGTCAATCAGATCTACAGTCCATCTAACAATAGCAAAGAAATAAGATCCAGAGCTGAAAACTATAGCAAGATGTTTTTTTTATATTAAAAAACTATAGCAAGGTGTTTATATTAAAAAATAAAATTGTAACTTTTATTTTTTAATATTTACCTTATTAATTTTTATAGAAAACCTATGTTTAGAAAATTAATACTTTTTAAGGATTTGTGTAAAAGGGGTAATTATTTTATGGATTTTTTTTTAACCTTTATTGTTATTATGCAGTTTAGGTTTAGGAATATAAGGAGTAGCTGGAGGAGTTGAAGTAGGTTGAGGAGGCGGAGTATTAGGAATAGCTGGAGGAGTTGAAGTAGGTTGAGGAGTATGAATATGAGGAGGTAGAGAAGTATATGTTTATTTTGTGAAGGTCTTTTAATGTATTGTTACCATCGGTTGTAAAAGTAACATTTAAAGTTGTACATCAATTAAATTACAAAAAAGTATATAGCATTCTGGGAATAATGTCAAAGTTAACAACTATTTATAAATTTAATCAAAAATGTCCTCCTCTCTAATTTCTGTAGACAAATTTTCAGTTTTTCTATTAAAATAAACTACTATTTAACATGTATCTGAGTAATTCCATGTCAATTGAGCCTGAAAATTTCAAAAATGTCACCATACATCTCAGATTTTGCTGATTTTTATACAGTTGAGAGTACTTAGTAAAACAAAAAATCCTTGAAAATTTTAGCTTCTAGCTCCAAGAGGATCATGAAATATGATCATTTTACTTTTAACTGATCTTGGCCAGGCCTCTCTTGTCCCCTCAGAAGTGTGACCTTTGTTTAAAGTTTCCAAGTCACATAGCTTTAAAAATATTTGATCTTTTGACTTAAAAATTTGTACCTGGCTATTTTCAGGGTCGAAGAATCCAATGAAATAATCAGAAATGTAAAAAAATATTATCAATTTAAATAAGTTTAGGCAATTTTTTATAAACCTGATTTTGATGCTCAAGAAAGCCATGTGGCCTTGATGATATAAAAAAAAAAATTGTACACATTATTCTATGTTTAATGATCTTTCAGAAAACATAAAAATTTTGATCTGCAAGTATATGGATTTCCATATATGGTTAATGGGGCACAGGCCCACTATTTTGTAGCGGAATCTTGCCATACATTTTTCACTACCTTTCAGACTAGCTGGAACGATGAAAATTTTGGTATTTATGTAGTGTCAATAAATGTGCATTTTAAAATTAAAAAAGAGCCCAAGACACTAGGGGAGGGGGCTGGAGGGATGTGCCCCACTTTTTTGACCGGAATTTTGAGATGGATTTTTCAGTATCTTCCAGACTAGTTGGAGCTTTGAAACTTCCAGCATTTGTGTAATCCTGATGAACATGCATTAAAAATTGTTTCAGGTCAGATGACCAGAAGGTCCATGGGGCTGGGGCACCGGGGACCATGCCCCGCTTATTTTCTCAAAAAAAAAAAAATTTTTTTTTAACACATTTAAGATCACTTTGAAACTGTCTTCAAAATTTTTTTTAGATTTTCATTTTTAACAACGTTAAACATATCTTTGATAACATTGCTTCACAAATTTTTGTGATTTATATTTGTTCAATTTGGTTTTTGATTATTCTATGTTCAATGATCTTTCTTAAAATGTTTTTAGAAAGTTTATGTTTATAAGAATTATATAATTAATATATTTTAATGCTAAAATGGTAACAGCAAGTTGTTTAATTAACTTCCAACAGAAAAAAACATCCTGTCATAACCTTACATCAATAAAAAAGAAATTTATTAATTTTTCAAAATCATTTTTTTATTTGATATTTGCTAATTCAAAAATGTTAACAGCAAGTTATTTTGTTAAATAAGAACTATTCACAGTAACAAAAAACATCCTGTCATTACACTAGTATAGAAGAAATTTGTTACCTATTAAAGTCATCATTAACATTTTTAACATTAAAAAATTGATTATAATTAAACTTTGTGAAATGGAAACTTTCTTTTTGTCAAAGTAAGATAAAAGAAATCAATCACTGTTTAGTTTTGTATTACCATGGTGATTGCTTAAATTACTTTCATTGAATTAATTACTATTCAATAGTATTGGTTTCTCATTTTTAAATTAATCTCAAAATGTTTTTAGTGTTACAGTAAGAATGGATTTATGTGATTTTGGAAAAAAATTAAATGATACTTGTCATAAACTAAGTTATTGTAGAAAGATTGATTTAAAGAAATTTGATTGCTATAGAGAAGATGCCAAAGAAGAATTTATTTGGAGATCTG